CACACACACACACACACACACACACACACACTCACTCACTCTCTTAGCTCATAATGGGAAACAAAAAAAGGAATGCGCGTGTATATCAGAGTCCGTGGGTACCAATATGAAGGCGGGGAGGGGCGGAGAAGAGCCGCTGACCTCTCTCCCCACACCCCCCACCCATCAAAGCAGCGACGGAAACAGTAGCGGTTGGTAGTATTAGTGGTGCTGGCTGTAGAGTTGCAGTGGCTATTCGATGCATGAGCCTTCTTGGGCCTATGCGTTCTTCTCTTCGTCGTCTTGCCCCCACTTTGTTTATTTTTTTCTCCGCCCGCCCCTCGCTTCGTTCCGCTTGTCTCGTCCTGGCGCGTCGTCTGACCGTCCTCAACCCAACACACATCTCGTCACGAGAGATCGTACTCCTCCTCCTCCTCCTCGTCACGCTCCTCGCGCTCGTACAACTCGTCGGCGTCCTCGTCGTCAACGAAGAGCTCCTTGTCCATTTGCCACAGATCCCAGCCGCGCAGCTTGCCGTCACCGGCCTTCGCCTTGCGTACGCGCGCCGCCTCCGCCTCCACCGCCTGCGCCCGTTTCATCGCCTTCCACGCCTGGAAGCTCGCCTCTGTGACGGGCGTCAGGTCGCTGCGCTCCTTCAGTGCCTCGCGCTCCGCCTCCAGCTGCTCCTCCAGCCGCCGCTCGTCGTACTGTACCTCCTCGAAGTCCTCCGGCCGGAACAGGTAGTCGTCGGGCGCGCAGCCGAGGTTGCGGTCTCCGTCCTCCGCGTTTGCGGCACTGCCGTCGCCGTCGTTCTCATGACGTGCGGCGCCGCGGCCGGAGGTGTCGACGTCCTTGAAGAGCTTCGCCATCTCCGCCTCGAAGGCCTTCTTCTCCTCGCGGGCCTTGCGCTTCGCCTCGAGGTCGTCGGTGCGCTTGCGGTCGTTGGGGTTTCCCTGGTTCACGCTCTTGCTCACGGACTGGATGTAGGACTGCACCTTCGCGCTGCGGTTCTTATTCTTGAGACCGAACGTCTTGTCCTCGAGGATCTTCTCCTTTTTCTTCTGCTCCGCCTTCTTCCCCATGGTTGAACACGGATGCCCTCCTTTTTTCTTGTTCTTATCTTTCGCTTACTCGAACGTGGTGTGTTTTGTGTTGTGTGCAGGTGAGACTGCTTGAGTACTAGCACAGTGTGCGTGTGCGATTCTGTTGCGCAGACACAGCCTGACGCATGAGAGGCAGCGAAGACAAGAGAGACGAAGAATCATAGAAATAAACACAACCTTCACACCTCCTCCTCCTCCTTTACTTTCCTCCCCCCCAACATATATATATATATATATATAT